TAATATAATAGCTTAATAGACTTTATGTTATGAAAATTCCTGCAATTCCTTGCTATGAAACCATAAGCCGGCAATGCGTCTGATGCTTTTTTATTTATATGCGGACTAAAAGTTAACTTTTGATTATAGATTATACCTAAATCACGTACATCAGAGCATCTTTCTAGCACAGACCCATCAATAGAGTACGGATATTCGCAAACATTAATTTTCCTGGTAAAGCTGACTATTTTACACTTCCTCACATTAAGCTCCAACTTGTTTCCTACACACCAAGACAGCACAAAATTTAATTGGTGTTGTAGCTTGATACAATCATCAGGAGTATTTATCTGCGAATACATTTTTAGGTCGTCAGCAAAGCATAGGCGTTCACATTCAACTGAGTCACAGAAGTCATTAATAAATATCAAAAACAGTAATGGTCCCAGGTTGGACCCCTGAGGAACTCCAGAAGGTGCCAAGTAGGTCTCAGGTTGGAAGCCATTATAGCTTAGAAATTGTCTACGATCGGATAAGTAAGATTTCATCTCCCTAGCATCATCTGTGAAACCAAGTGCACCTAACTTATTTAATAAAGTTTTGTGGTTAATTTTATCGAAAGCCTTCGAAAAGACTATTTCAAAGACTTTCGAGAACATGCATAATATAGAGATTGCCCTGTAATTCTCAATATTTGACTTATCCCCACACTAAAACACTGGACAGACCTTAGCGATCTTCCAAATATCTGGAAATCTTTTTGTTATAAGACAAATATTAAAAATCCTAGTTAGAACACCAACAAACACTTCCACACAATCTTTGACTATAAAGGACGGGATGCCATCTAGGCCAGATGTCATCTTATCCTTTAGTGATTTAAAGGCCTTCCTGACTTCATTTTCCTCAATTTCGTGAAAATGGACAAATAAATTACTATGATTTAGTGAGGCAATATTATAGGGCTTGTGAGTGACATAGACGCTGCTGAAAAACCCACTGAATACGTTTACTATATCCTGAGGCTGATCTATATATTTATTTTGAAATTTCATTATCCCTGGGATTCGTGATGTGTTGTTTTTGGAGTGAACGTATGACCAAAAAGCATTGGGGTTAATTGTTAAAGAATCCTGGATATTTTCAATATATTGATCATACGCTGATTTAATCTGGTTTTTTATCAAGCGGCGCAAATGTTTGAACAAAAGCAGACCTGTTGATATTTTTCCTAAATTTAGCTTTAAGTTTAATGTTCTTAATAATAGCTGAGTGAAACCAAGGCGGGTATCGGTGACTGTAATTCTTATACAGAGGTATGTGCCTGGGAAGAATTTGGAAAATGTTGCCATAAAATACATATATAATTAACATCAGAAGAGCAGAATAAAACATCCCAATCAAATTGAATTAGCTCTTGATACAGGTTGACAAAGTCAGCTTTTCTGTAGTTATAAGTGGTTTTACTAGGATTGAATGTAAACTTAGGCTCTTTTATGAATATGGCAGTCAAATCAACAGCTAGTGCCGGATGATGACTATCTTCTGGCACTAGAGGTAGTTCATCACGCTTAACAGTACAGGGTAATTTAGAAATTACCAGGTCTAGCGACCGACCAAGTTGATTTAAGATATTATTTGACTACTTATAATTAAAAATGTGCAAAAATTATGGATAATGCGAGTCTTAGGGTCTAGAAGATTGCCATTTACAAGTTGAGGCACATTAAAATCTCCTAGAAACAGGGAATTACAGTCGTGCAAATAATCCAGTTGCTCAACAGCGTCAAAGAACGATTCAAATTCATCAACAGCAATTTTGTCAGGAATGTAAACAACAGCCACAAAAAATGTGTTATATGCCACATGGCATCTCACTATTAAGTAATAATAACACTGATCAACAGCCAAAAAATATCCTAAATAAAATCAACAAAATATTACTATTTTTAATGTGCTAAAACCGGAATGAAACTTATTTTTTCAATATTAGTTCAAGTTTTAGAGATACGGTAATTATATGTGTTCCTGCTGTGACAGTGTTAATATACTGTAGTTCACAAGAATGCACGTGCTACATTTTTATATTCGGCAAGGAAAGATGATGTAATCGGCATGATTGTGTTACGTTACACATACGTGTACATTATATTGTTTTATATTAGCCATTTTTTCCTCAGTTGGCTGACAGCGTTCATGCAAGATGTCTCGAAAGTGTGTAAACAATCCAGCTCAGTTTTGTTACGTGTGTGGTGATGTGACTTTTGCGTCTCAGAAACGGTCTATTACTCCACTAATAACAAAGGCATATCAGCTTTATTTCGGTTGTAAACTAGGTGATCAAGACAAACAGTGGGCACCCCACATCTGCTGTAATACATGTGCTTCAAGTCTGAGGAGCTGGGTAAATGGCAAAAAACGGTCTATGCGCTTTGCTGTCCCAATGGTTTGGAGAGAGCCTACAAATCATATTAATGATTGTTACTTTTGCATGGTACCTTGAGTTGGACAAGCCACAGATATGTCCAAGAAAAAAAAAATCGGTTATTAACTACCCAAACATACCATCTGCGATGAGACCTGTGCCTCACAGTGACGAAAATCCTATTCCAAAACCCCCAGAATCCTACACTTGCGAATCAGAAAACGAATCAGATCATGGCGATCGAGTGATTCGTCAGGAAGAAAATATGCCATCAACGTCAAGAGATCCTGATTTTATACCGAGCACGTCATGCCACCAACCGCACAAAATAACACAGTCAGAATTAAATGATCTTGTAAGAGATTTAGAACTTCCAAATGTAAGACAGAGTTACTTGGATCAAGACTGTAGCAGTGGAACTTGTTAGAAGACGATGTTTCGGTATGTGTTTTTCGTAAACGCCACAAAGACTTAGAACCATTTTTCAATATGGAGAATAACTTGGTTTTCTGCAGTAACATTAACGGCTTACTGGCGGCTTTAAATATAAACTATAACCCAGAAGAATTCAGATTGTTTATAGACAGTTCAACATTGAGTTTAAAGGCAGTGTTATTGCATATTGGAAATATTTTACTATCTCTTCCTGTAGGGTATGCAGTTCACATGAAAGAATCATATGACAATATGAAGTACCTATTGACATGCATAAAATACGATGAGCATCAATGGCATATTTGTGGCGATTTGAAAGTTATTATTATTATTATTATTATGATAATTGAGATGAGCAGAGTACACAGTACTATAAGCTCATGCAGTAAATATAGTGTACGAACACGTAACACAAATACATCAAATAGAAAAAAATAAAAAAAGACATCGATTCGGTGGCATCCATCTGGAGATGACCGTCAGCGTCGCGGATCTGAGGTGATGAAACTTTGGAATTCAGGTTTGTTCTTAGATACCGAAACAGCTTCTTCTTATTTTTGGAGGTAACGAGTTTTCGTTCATAAGCATGTTTGGCATTATGTAACGTTCTAGTTAGGAGGTTAGAAAAGGATCGATGAGACACGTAATCTTGTGAATGGCCACTCCTCCTAAACCGTTGCCACAAAGATCTCTTGTGACGAAGCATCCTCGATATGTTAGAGTTGATCCACAGTATACCTTCTTTTCAACAGTATTGTCAGCCGTTTCGCTTAGGACTCGTTGAGCGAAAGTGTCCCACATATCTTGGGTGCTACGGTTGTTAAGCAAAGCAGGCCAGTTGACTTCAGACAGGGCTTGGTTAAGAGCATCGTGGTTTACAATTTTGATGGTTTCAAACTTATCGGTTGTAGAACGACTATTTATATTGAACTGGAGAGAAGATAAAAGTGAACAGTGGTCAGACTTGCCAAAAGGTGGCAAATAATCTAAATTAGAAACAAAGTCGGCGTCGTTAACGAATATCAAATCCAGAGCCCTAGGCGTCTGTCCTTCCCTGAATCTCGTTGGACGATCAACAAGTTGAGATATGCTAGAGTTACGTAGCAAGTCGATGTAAGCAGCAGAAGAATTGCATTCAGGAATGGTTGATATAGGCCAGCTAATGTCACGTAGATTGAAGTCACCAGCTATGAAAAGGTTGGTGTTTTTATTTAAGTGATCTGAAATGAGACTGCACAGGTGTGTGTCTCCCAAACAGGGCCGTGGCCGATATATGCAGCCTATCGTGAAGCTGAAATTTGGGCACCTCAATTCCAAAAATAGATTGTCAATGCCATCGAAAGGACTGAAAGAGGGAGATACCGAGAAAGCCGACGCGATTTCCGTGCGAACATAAATGCATACTCCACCAAAACCAGGAGTGCGTGGTGAATCCATTCTGTATAAATAGTATCCAGGCAAATTGATGGAAGAGTCGGACACGTTGGAATGGAGCCATGTTTCAGTAAGGCAAACGAACTTTGGATTATTGTCTCGAACAAATGCTTGGAGTTCAAGTAGCTTAGAAAAGAGAGATTGTATATTAGTGTAACAAACCGTCCAGTTTGCCACAGAATTTATCAGTTTTTTGAAGGTGTGATCTCCTGGGTAGCTGTGTGTACTATGGAAGGTTTACCACGAACGTATTTTATAGTAATATTACTTTCGCCTGTTGTTTGACGATGTCTAAGCTCTTCGCGAAGGTGTTGTAGTTCTCGCATTTGACCTCTGGTTTTGTCGTCAGAGATTTTTACGTGACAAAGCTTGGGGCGGCTAAGGATGGAGTTTTTCTTCCGCAAAATATTGCTGACGATAATAGTTGAGGAAAACACAACTCTAATTAAACGATTGCTTGAAGTTGTTCTGCCAAGGCGAGTGATGCTGAGTCGGTGATTTTCGGCAGATGGTTCAATATGCCTAATTATCTCTGATACTATGTTTATGTCATCGTTCCCTTCAGCTATGCCCTTCAGAATGATATTGTGGGAAGGTCTAAATAACTCCATTGTCTCAGCTTGGGAGCTTGGGGCAATAGGGGTAGAAGAAGCGCCGTTGCCTGAGTGCATCGTCTCCATAGATCTTGCAAGTCTCGATTCAATATTAGCAATGTTTGAGTAACCTGGATATTTTGTATGTTGGTTTCGCAGGCCGCTATTAAGTTATCATGCCGAGAGATCGAGTCCGAATGTTGCTGTAGCAAGTTTCTACAATAAGCAACATCAGTTCTGAGTTGAGATTGAGAGTTCTTAATATCCTTTATGTCACTGGCCATAGTTGATAATTGGTTAAGTATAAGGGTGAGAGTGTCGGTAGGGGTAGACTGATCTGGTTGTAAAGGAGCAGTGGTTTCTGAACGAGCACCGCATGTGGAAGAGGTGGATCCGCTTCGGGTAACTCGTCTCTGTCTACAACAGGCTGGGCAAGACCATCGTTCTTTTCCGTCCGACAATTCGTCGTTGTTATCACTGTATTTTTCTACATTATCCCCATCTTCAGGATCTTTCATGTTTTTATTCTTCTTTCGTACAGTCTGACTCATGTTCCCTTATTCCAGCGGGTATTTCCGGATTACCCTATACACTCTGTGGACTAGTTTCTTAATTTAATTTGACAAGGTTGTTGCACTTTTACTTGGGCTGCAGCTAGGCTACACAAAGTTTTGCTGTTTTTTGTGTGAATGGGACAGTCGGGCAAAGGCACTTCATTACACCAGCCAAAACTGGCCTGTTCGTCAATTCCTAGAGCCAGGTCAAAAAAATGTACATTAGTAGATTCGAACAAAATTTTATTACCACCACTGCATATCAAGTTGGGCCTAATGAAAAACTTTGTCAAGGCACTAGATAGAGATGGGTCAGCTTTTCAATACCTGCGTCAGAAATTTCCAAGACTAAGTGAGGCAAAGGTTAAAGAAGGTATTTTTGTTGGGCCACAGATTCGAAATATTTTAAAAGATACACAGTTTGAAAACACTGCTTGGAATGATTTCCGTCTGGTGGTCACTAATTTCTTGGGAAATAGAAAAGCTGACAACTATAAAACCCTTGTCAAAAATATGCTGTCATCGTATCAAAAGATGGGCTGTAATATGTCTCTTAAGATACATTTCCTACACTCACACCTGGACTTTTTTCCTGACAATTGCGGCGCCGTAAGTGATGAGCACGGCGAACGTTTTCATCAGGATATTTTAACAATGGAAAAAAGGTACCAGGGAAAGTGGAATCCTTCCATGCTTGCAGACTACTGTTGGACTCTTGGTAGAGATGCTCCAGAAACGATCCATAAAAGAACAGCAAAAAGACAGCGCATATAGTGATTCTTATAAGTATATGAATCTTGTTACTTTTTTTAATATATCCTTAAAATAGGCAGCAGCGGTGGCCGCAGTAGTAGTCTCTTCGGTCTCCTGATCAGTCGCCGTGCGCTGTGCGGGCTCGAGTCCCGTCCCAGGAGAAATTTTTCTCTTGGCTATGGATGTTGTGAGTGTCCGTAGGGGGTAGACGGTCGCTGACTGTCGAACGTGGAGGTACCACCCGGCGGACCTCGTAGGCGGAGCCAGAATGTTTGCATGTTGCATGCACACGTGTTCCCTCGCCAGAGTCCGTGTGGCGTTCTCCCTTTCTCCTGTATCCCCCTATAGCCCCACGGTACCCAATGGGTGTTTAGGCCTTAGGCCTTCGTGGTAGTTGGAATATATAAAAAAAAATAAAAAGTTTTTTTTCTAAACCGCAACTAATTTTTTTATTTCATTGACATTTTTGGATTCAGCGCCCCAAAATTAACAAAGAAGTGCACTTTTCCCACAAGATACAATTAAAAAACTAAAATTTGTTGTCCAGTGTAATAAATGATGAACGGGTGAATCTCCACTCGACTTACTTTGAGTCTAAAAATATATGGTACTTCTATGTCCAAGGACACCCTGTAGATTTTACAATTCAAAATAAACGATTCGTGGGAAGATTGAACAACGAATACCTACTTCTAGCGATATAATTTTGTCCGCTGCAGGCAATACTACCTCCAAGATTACAAACTAGAGGATTGGTTGCCATGGTTTATAAAACTATATACTGAACCAGTCTCCCATTGTCGTACTTCTTAATCGTATTAGCTCGTCAGTAAGCTTATTTTGCCCCCACTAAGTATCATTATTTCGTAAATGCCTTCTCCGAATGTTGTGTACAATTATGTACAAAGAAGCCACTATGCTACTTGAATTAAGCCGGTTAGCAATTTATGTGATTATTATATCACAATAGGCTTGAAAGGTACATTAATTGTTGTACACTGTATAGTATGGAGCTCAAGTGTTGGTATTCGATTGTCATTTGCAGGCGCGGGTTTAGGATTACGCTTCGAATACGGAAGATAGTCTGCAATCATTTCCAACCCTGTCATTCTTAAACTTTACTTTTATGAACGAGATATAGGGAGGATATTTACTATATAAACCAAATCGACCAAAAAATAGAAGACTTTAATAAAAATATAGTAACTGTTCTGGATAAACATGCTCCGATAAAAACAAAACAAATAACCGAAAACCTTATGTACCCTGGATAACTCAAACTATAAGAATTTTAATCAGACTAAGAGATAAAGCTCATAAAAAATTTCAAAAATCAAAATCACAGGCTCATTTTGAATATTATAAACAACTAAGGACTATACAAAGCATGCAATTATCCGAGAAAAAAATACATTCTTTAACTTACTCTCAACAAAGAAAGGTAAGGAAGTTTGGGACACTACCAAAAAGCTCAACATAACCTGCAAGAAAACTCACTCAACTATACCCGAACACTTACAAAATGTAAATGACATACACAATTACTTCCGGCAGACCGACAATTTACCAGACACTGCTTCCCAAGAGTTAATCAATTTTTACAAAAACAATGTAAACTTAGCTTCCAACTGTTAAGCAGGGCCAGTCTAATCAAAATTGTAACTAATATCTCATCAAATGCCTTTGGAGAAGATGGTTTCTCTATGAGAGACCTAAAGTTATGTATCCAATTTTGTACGAATGCCTTGCTGAATATAATCAACACATGTATTTTGGGGGGATTATTTCCAGAAATATGGAAGAAAGCTATTGTTAAATACCAAAAATAGCAGAACCTAAACAATTTACAGACTTGAGGCCTATTAGCATATTACGCGCTACATCCAAAATTTCATAAAGGCATATTTATAATCAAATTAGATTTGTTTGTGACACAAACGATATCATACCCGATAGTCAATCCGGTTTTAGGAAAAACTTTAGCACAAGTACATCATTAGTTAATACCTTGGATGATATCAAACATCAAGAACAAAATAATATACTAAGTGACATATAAATCCGAACACCCAATTTAAATGGTTTTATTTTAATAAAAGTTAGTGAATGTATTTATCTTACTGTAAATAACAAGTGAAAACATTTTCAGCCTTATCAGTTGGACATTCCGGTTTTTATACTGCTTTTTTCTAATTCACTAACACTCTAAAAATGAATATTTCAGCCGCAGTAAAGAATCAACGTTGGCGGATTTTATTTCTTGACATCCTTTACGATTGGTTACGATGCCTAGAGTACGGAGACCTGTACGATTTCGTCAACTTAGTGAGTTTGATAGGGGCCGTATAGTGGGACTTCGGGAAGCTGGACTTTCTTTTCGGGCAATTGCAGTTAGAGTGCAAAGAAGTGTAGACACTGTGGTTAGGTGTTGTCAGGCATGGCTTCGAGAAGGCCGTACGCAAAGAGCAAGGGGCACTGGACGCCGCCGTAGAACAACAGACCGTGAAGATCGCCGCCTAAGATTATTGGCCTTAAGGGACCGTTTCTCCACTACCACGTCCATTGCAAATGAATGGTTAGCAGAACACGGAAGACCTATTGGCATGCGAAGTGTTTACCGACGAATGAGAAGTTTTGGCTTGTTTTCATACCGGCCACACTGGGTCCTACCTTTAACTCGAGAACACCGACGTAATCGCCTTGAGTGGTGCAGACAACGTCCCTCTGGGATCAGGAATGGAACAGTATTGTCTTTAGTGACGAGTCTCGATTTTATTTTGGCATGCACGATGGTCGTGCCAGGGTTAGAAAGCGACGTGGTGAAAGGAGGAATCCACAGTTTTTTGTTGAAAGACATGTTCATCACGCTGTTGGAGTTATGGTTTGGGGTGCTATAGCTTATGGTTCCAGGTCACCTTTAATCTTCATCAGAGGTAACATGAACGCGCAGCGTTATATCCACGAAGTTCTAGAACCCCATCTTTTACCCTATCTTGACACCCTGACAGATCCAACTTTCCAACAAGATAATGCCCGACCACATGTTGCAAGAGACACAATAGACTTCTTTCAACATAATGATGTCACATTGTTACCATGGCCACCAAGATCTCTCGACTTATCCCCAATTGAGCACGTGTGGGATATGATGGGTAGGAGATTGCTCAATTTGCAACGTCCTCCTCAGACTCTAGAAGCACTTCGAGAGGAGTTGGTGGTTGCCTGGAATGAGATACCACAGGAGGACATTGACCACCTGATCAGAAGCATGCCTAGGCGCGTTGGAGAATGCGTAGCACATCAGGGTGCATCCACAGATTATTAAAGGTCAAAGGGCTTTAAAGCGGCGCAATCATTTTGAAATTTTTATCATTTACTTATTATGCTTCATTAAGTACTTATACAAAATTTTATTAAAATAAAACCATTTAAACTGGGTGTTCGGATTTATATGTCTCTTAGTATAGTACGTGCATGGTTCTTTTCGATTTTAGTAAAGCATTCGACACTCTGAATCATGAAATGTTACTAGCTAAGTTACATTACCAGGGGTTTTCGCAGAACTCCGGAAATCTAATAAAAACATACTTAAGCAACCGTTCAAACTGTGTTATGTTAGCAAATGATTCTGCTATTTACAAAACCGATTTTAAACCTATAAAAAGAGGAGGTCCTCAAGGTTCAATTTTATCTCATTTGCTATTTTCAATCTACACATCTGGCATGGTCGAATCGGTAAAATTCGCAAAGATAAAACAATATGCTGATGACTCACAAATATATCTCCCTGTCAATAAAACCACAATCCATATAGCACAGCAACAACTAAATTCAGATCTCCAAAGAATTGACAGATTTGCAAAGCATCAATCTTAAACTAAACCCCTCAAAATCGCAAGTAATGGTTATGAATAAAAACAGTAATGAAAGAGAATATTTTGAACAAAATTTAGTAATTTCTATTAACAATAACAGAATCCCCATGGTTCAGGAGACAAAAAATCTAGGCATTATATTTGATAGCTCGCTTGGCTTCGGAAGTCATATAAAAAACAGAGAAAATTTAGCTTACGATCGTTTGCCTATGTGGCGGTTCACCTATGGAATAATTTACGAACTTCAGTTAAAAGCTCATCATCAAAAACATTCTCAAAACTGACCAAAACGTTGTTTCAGAATCATCGGCTACTTTAGCAGCGTTTGTGCGAGCA